GATTATGTGTTGAAATATGTTTGTATGCACAGCCCTAAAGTATAATAAAGTAACGCAAAAGACTCCATTGTAGCATTTAATCAAACTTGTTAACTGCTGAATTATTGCTGATATCAAATTATATGATTATTAACACGTATCAGTTCTATTCTAATATCACCAGTGTTATCATGCTCCAAAATAATCAAGATATACTCTCCCTAAAGAGAAACGCATCGTGAAAATAGCAATTTCATGTAGCAATGAATGAAAACGTGATTCATTTTACAAAAGGTTTTGCTCTGTTTATGAGTTCTATGGTGTTTATGTTTTGAAACATCACAACAAAACGCACCATCCGTAAAATACCCGTATTTAACAGCATCATTTCGGCGTGTAGTGTCACAGAATACACAATTCAAATGCAATGCACGTGAAAGTTGGGGTCAGATAGTCTCAATGATTGGTATAAAAGGTTGATCGTTGCCCGTCGATTATTCACTGTATTTGGAATATTGTTGACGAACGCAAAATGCCACGTCTAAGTGAAGCCATCCGTCGTATCGCCATTGGTTTGCCTTGAAGCTGGCGTCTCAACGTGCAGTTGCCCGACGCATAAATGATCACCAAAGCACCATTTCACGGCTCTGGGAGAGATAGCGCCGGCAGAATGCGGTAGCAGATGCCCCTCGTAGTGGGCGACCTCGAGCGACCACTGCGGCGCAGGATCGCTACATCCGGGTACATCACCTGCGTCATCAAACAGCTACGGCGACCAGTACCGCTCCACAAATACCCGGATTGAGGAGGCTTTCTGCACAGACCAAACAGTCAGGAACAGGTTGAGAGGGGCTGATTTACGTGCCAGAAGACCTAATTGTGGCCCTGTGCTTCGACAACAACATCGTCGACATCGAGTTCAATGGTGCACCAACGTTCAGGCCTGGAACCTACCGAATTGGCGTAGAATCTGGTTCAGTGATGAATCACGATTTCTATTGGAACGACGCGATGGAAGAATGCGGGTGTACAGACGTCGACGTGAATGTTTCGCCGACGCTTGCGTTCCCCAGGTGGACAGATTCGGCCGACAAGATCACCGGACTTAAACCCGATCGAACATCTGTGGGATGCCCAGGACAGACGGGTGCGACGCCGTAACCCTCAGCCCCAGACACTTCAGCAACTCGCACAGGCACTACAGGCAGAGTGGGCTGCGATTGGGCAACACGAGATTCTGAGACTTATTCGTTCGATGCCGAGGCGATGCTGTGCAGTTCTGGATGCCCACGGTGGTCACACGAGGTATTGACTTCAGCGCCACCACACGTCTCCATGTGACACTCAAACTGACTTTCCTCGAGTTGGTGCTAAAGACGGATAAGTCTGCATTCCCAGTGTGCAATTTCGCTATATTTCATTGACTCTTAAAGCCTACAAGATGTTTCAAAATAAACATAAAAATACAGTTTAAATTCATATGTGCGTTTCTTTTTTTTTTTGGGCGAGTATACATGTACACCAAATGCATACACTGATACTGGCTTCAAGCCATAAAACTACAGTACTCAGGACAAGTTTCAGTGGTAAAAAGCTCAAATAGCGGAATGTACATCTGTATTAAATGTTAATCTTCAAATATATGTACTTTTAAGGCAATGTATGTATTTTTATGGTAGTGTATTAGCATACTGATCATACTGTGTATTATTATATATTCAATTTAGTAAAATAGTGGGTCAAATTCATTGTATTCAGCAGTATAATTGTGTGTGTTTTCTGTACAGATCATTTGATTCCCCATGTTTATTTTAATCATAAACATTTCTGAATAATATTGGTAAAACCTTTTCATGTTGTTTTACAAACCGATTCAGACAACATTCTTCGAAAAAAAAGTGTGTACATGGATGGATCTGTTTAATTTTATTACAAATTATATGTACCAAAGTAACTCAAGATAAGGGAATATATTTTTTCTGTATTATGTTACTGAGAGCCGATAATTTTACAAGCGCACCCGCATTTAAAAACAATGGTTTGAACTTTATCAATTATTTCCTCATAATACATAAGAAAATAATTAGATAATAAAATGGCTTTTCAGTGTGGAAGCGTTAGGGCAGCAGACCCTGGGAACCAGGCTGAGCCGTTTTCTGTTTCCGAGTCATTAAAATATCCACGGAAACTGTCGATGTTTATCGAAGAGAGGCCAAACAGTGATTCGAACCCTGTGGTTATAATACATACTATAGTCAATATTTTAACAAAGCGCGACGCGACACAGTACGACAACGCGACATTTCATCAAAATGTCGCGTTGTCATATTAATCGCGTGTCGTTTTAAAATACGTTATAATACATACTATGCAATATTTTTAACAAAGCGCAACACGCGACGCGCGGCAACGCGACATTTCATCAAAATGTCGCGTTGTCGCATAATCGCGTCGCGTTCTTAGTAAATACGTTATAATACATACTATACTCAATATTTTAACAAAGCGCGACCCGCGACAATGCGACAACGCGACATTTCATCAAAACATTGTCGCGTGTCGCGTTTTATTAGTTACGGCGGATTGTATAAACTATCACAAGCATGATTACTTTTCGATGTTTGGATTAGATTGGATTGGATTGGATTGGATTGGAGTGGAGTGGAGTGGAGGGAGGTGGAGTGGAGTGGAGGGAGGGAGTGGAGCGGAGTGGAGTGGATTGGATTGGATTGGATTGGATTGGAGTGGAGGGAGTGGAGGAGTGGAGTGGAGCGAGGTGGAGTGGAGTGAGGGAGTGGGCGGGTGGAGTGGAGTGAAGCGGAATGAGGGCCTGAGTTGAGAGGAGTTGAATGATTGCGTGAGTGGAGCGGGGAGTGGAATGAGTGAACGGAGTGGAGCGGAGTGGGTGAATGAGTGAGGTGAGTGGAGCGGGGGTGGGAGGAGTGAGTGAGAGAAGTGGAGTCACTGAGCGGGAGGGAGGAGTGGAGTGGAGCGGAGCGGAATGAGTGAGTGAGAGAACTGAGTCAGTGAGCGGAGCGGAGAGGAGCGGAGTGGAGTGGAGTGGAATGAGTGCGTGAGTGGAGCGGGGAGTGGAATGAGTGAGCGGAGTGGAGCGGAGTGAGTGAATGAGTGAGTGAGTGGAGCGGGGAGTGGAGTGAGTGAGTGGGCGGAGCGGAGCGGAATGAGTGAGTGAGAGAAGTGAGTCAGTGAGCGGAGTGGAGTGGAGCGGAGTGAATGCGTGAGTGGAGCGGGGAGTGGAATGAGTGAGCGGAGTGGAGTGGAGGGAATGAGTGAGTGAGTGAGTGGAGCGGAAGTGGGAAGTGGTGTGGAGTAGAGATGAGAGTGAGTGGAGGGAGGAGAGGAGTGAGCGAGCGAGGGTCGATTTCTGGCACCCAAGGGTACGCAACTCTGCCAAGCGATTTGACCGCTTTTAAAATCATAATCAAAACATTCCATTTGTATGGCGTTTTTCCCAAGAAGAATATCACGTTCAAAAGTCGACCAAAACTGTATTTGAGGTGCTGGATGGTTAAGTGATATTACCATCTCATTTTACCTGGTATCCATCCACTGCTGGCTGAACAAGTTCATCAGCGTCGGACAGGACTGTACCAAGAACTCTGAGGAGCCACACTGTCGAACATAGTGACCCATTCGTGGACATCACTTGATGTTTCTTCCGATGTGGCCTGGATTTTAACAATATTTGAGTTTTTCACAACCTGTGAGCTTGACATAGGTGAAATGTCCAAAGTGATGAATGTGTATGGTGCTGGGATTAGAACCTACTGATCATAGTTTTCTGGTGTGACTAAGAGACACAACTCTGCACAGCAAATTGCCCCGCCTTGAATGACAGGGCCACCGTGTGCCGTGATTACAATGAATAGTAGCGCTAATAACTTGTCTTGCTGCTAAAACATACTTGATTGGCCAAATACATTTACAATATATACAATAATTTTCAAAGCAACAATGAAAGATTTCCATTAAGTTCAAGAAAAAGCAGCCCCATTATCAATACGCGTACTACTTTATTGTAAAACCATTGGAGGTAACAAAGACCACTGAAGTGTGAAATAGAGTATAACATTTCCTGCGCGTGCGTAGACTCATTGACTTTCTACGCATGCGCACCGGTAATCGAAAAAGGGCGAAAACGCGACACGCGACAACGCGACATAATATGTCGCATTGTCGCGTGTCGCGTTTTTAGTCATATGTTATAATACATACTATACTCAATATTTTAACAAAGGCGCGACGCGCGACAATGCGACAACGCGACATTTCATCAAATGTCGCGTTGTCGCGTATCGCGTCTACCGTTTTAGTAAATTTTAGGCTGTTTTACACATCTTACATAGAGCGACGCGCGACAACGCGACATATTTTGACCTTGAAAATTGTCGCTATGTCGCGTGTCGCCCTCTTGAAGAATTAAAAATATATTATTCAAAACGCGACACGCTACATCGCGACAATGCGACAAATGGGCGAAATGTCGTTTTGTCGCGATGTCGCGTGTCGCGGTTTTGGTTTATTTTGCCTCACTTTACTTTGTTTTGACAACGCGACAATGCGACATAGCGACAATGTCCCTTCTAGGATTCCATACATATCATTCACTAACCAAGAGATAGTCAATTGCCTTCCATCAATTCTCCCAATGAACTAGAGGTAAAAGGGACCAGTGAGACCACCTTGTCGGTTTTATAGTGAGACTCAGAGTGACAAAACACACTTTCCACTTCAGAGAGAGATTACACAGTCAACTTTGATCTGGTGTGCATTTTCAAACAAAATTCAAAACACGTCTTCTTCGGTCTTTGATCAAGTTTACAACATTGGAAATGTCATCTTTGTTTATGGTAGATGTTGGAGAATCTGATACATCAGTGACAAAATGATGTGTAATGCAATTTTACTTTGACTTGAACCACATGTTCCCGCTGCTCTCTGGGCTGTGGCTGGTGTATATGTCAGTGGGAACCGTACAACTGACTCCGTTTACTACAGTCCTTTTGAAAATGGAGAATTTAGTACAAACTGGTGTGTGGTTTCAGCTGTATGAAGAATGCAAAATTGTACCCTGCTGGACGCGGGTACTGAAGGCAGCAATGTCTCATAATGCTCTGTGAGGATCCTGTCCAGCTAGATACGGACATCACTGTTCTGGTAACTAACTGTAGGCTGTAATGTCTCATAATGCTCTGTGTTGATCCCGCCAAGCTAGATACGGACATCACTGTTCTGGTAACTAACTGTAGGCTGTAATGTATCATAATGCTCTGTGTTGATCCCGCCAAGCTAGATACGGACATCACTGTTCTGGTAACTAACTGTAGGCTGTAATGTATCATAATGCTCTGTGTTGATCCCGCCAAGCTAGATACGGACATCACTGTTCTGGTAACTAACTGTAGGCTGTAATGTATCATAATGCTCTGTGTTGATCCCGCCAAGCTAGATACTGACACCACTGTTCTGGTAACTAACTGTAGGCTGTAATGTCTCATAATGCTCTGTGTTGATCCCGCCAAGCTAGATACGGACATCACTGTTCTGGTAACTAACTGTAGGCTGTAATGTCTCATAATGCTCTGTGTTGATCCCGCCAAGCTAGATACGGACATCACTGTTCTGGTAACTAACTGTAGGCTGTAATGTCTCATAATGCTCTGTGTTGATCCCGCCAAGCTAGATACGGACATCACTGTTTTGGTAACTAACTGTAGGCTGTAATGTCTCATAATGCTCTGTGTTGATCCCGCCAAGCTAGATACGGACATCACTGTTCTGGTAACTAACTGTAGGCTGTAATGTCTCATAATGCTCTGTGTTGATCCCGCCAAGCTAGATACGGACATCACTGTTCTGGTAACTAACTGTAGGCTGTAATGTCTCATAATGCTCTGTGTTGATCCCGCCAAGCTAGATACGGACATCACTGTTCTGGTAACTAACTGTAGGCTGTAATGTCTCATAATGCTCTGTGTGGATCCTGTCAAACAAGATACGGACATCACTGTTCTAGTAACCAACTGTAGGCTGTAATGTCTCATAATGCTCTGTGTGGATCCTGTCAAACAAGATACGGACATCACTGTTCTGGTAACTAACTGTAGGCTGTAATGTGTCATAATGCTCTGTGTGGATCCTGTCAAACAAGATACGAACATCACCGTTCTGATAACTAAGTGTAGGCTGTAATGCCTCATAATGTTCTGTGTGGATCCTTGCGGCTAGATACGGACATCACTGTTCTGGTAATCAACTGTAGTTTGTAATGTGTCATAATGCTCTGTGTGGATCGTGTCCAGCTTGGTGTAGTCATGTTCAGGCAGCACATCATATGTTGAGACTTCTACAGGTGGGGCCGGGCTTGTCTGCGGGGTGCCAGGTTCTTTTGATGACGTCTTTGCCATCCTGATATCAAAATGATGAAAATAGTAACAGGAATTGGCAAATGATGCTCTGATTTAGATGTGAATATTGAACATTGTCATTATAATTCATACATTCTCTATATGTTTGATAGAAAAACAACTGGCAACATACATTTGTACGTTTCTCTAATCACGGTTTGTACATTACCAACTGAACATTACCTGAAGTCTCCTTTCCTCCATGAGCACACTGCACCTGCAACAACAGCCAACAACACCAACATCACAACGGCTCCAATAAATCCAGCTACCAAAGGAGATATTCGTCCCGTTGAGTTTCCAGGTAAACTGCTGACCACTTAAACCAGAACAGAATAATTGTCAAAATCATCATCATTCTCAAAACACCATCAGTAATGTTACTCACATCGTTGTAGAAGGGACGGTGAGAATATCATCACACTATCATCTATAAATCTTAATTTATTCCCCATAGTGCCGAATTAGTTTTCTATGTCGAGTCTTCTCGTATAATCTTGGGTTTCATATCACTGTTGCTCCATTATTCTGACGACCACAGTTTGTTAATGCGGACACGTCTGGGTACAGGCAACAAACAAAACTTGGAGACACCATTTCATGTTATAATCACTCATTGGTGAACCCTCATTTTTTTTCCCTTGAATATTTACACGATTATACTGAATGGTGTATGATTTATCCATTACAGGGATGGGTGCTGGTTAGGATACTTTTGCACTGGTTTGTGGTGAACAGCTGACTGTACTAAAATACACAGACGTTATAAAAGTAGCCCCTCTTCCTTAGCTAACCTTGTTGACAGGTGTTGCTGACCCAGCCTGGACTGCAGCCCTTGAGACAGGTTCCAGTGACATGGGTGACAAGGTTCATCGTCCACACAATGTCCACACGTGGAGGAACAGTTGACACCAAACGTCCGCGACTGACATTCTACAATCAATTGTTTAATATATTAACTTTCACCTAAGAAGGTGAACCAACTGGTAACTAACGCAACAGCCTGCAGAACGTTGTATATATCATATTTAATAATCATATGATCTCAGTATCGTGTCTTATTCACTGCTAATGTGAACAGAACTTGATTTTTCTCCCATGGTATCTTCGTGCAAACCTTTCTCTGGCGTTAACGTTTTGCAGCGAGTTTACCTCTTGTTATTCAACACCACGTAATTTAACCTTGTTGACAGGTGTCGCTGACCCAGCCTGGACTGCAGCCCTTGAGACAGGTTCTAGTGACGTGGTGACAAGGTTCATCGTCCACACAATGTCCACACGTGGAGGAACAGTTAACACCAAATGTCCGTGACTGACATTCTTCAAGAAAATGTATATTGATAGGGATGCACTTCTGATATGCTTCACAGTGTCTTATCAGGTTGAGCGAATACTGGCTAGCGTATTAGCATGTACAGCAAAATATAATGTTTAGCATTTGTGTTAATCGTCAGTACAGACAATAAGTACATGGTTGTTTTAACTGATACAGAACTACTCCATAGTACGAGAACGTCACATACCCAACATACAGTCCACTCCCTCCCATCCTGGATGACATCCTCCACCACACCGCCCAGTATCCCGGGACAGGGTGCCCGATACCTCCCCTTACACTTCCGGGCACTGCAGTTACCATGACAACCGGGTCCATAATTCACGTTTAGCGTACACTCTGAAAGATAATCACCAGGACAAACACTGTAATTGCTGTCAGTGCTCACAGCAAGGAAACAACATACCGGCAACACACCAGAGAGAACTGTTAGTTGTCTTGGCTCCTTGTTCTTGACTTCTAGTTCTTTATATATGTCTGTTGTTTGTTTGCTAGCATAGTTGACGCCGTGCACTTTGATATTCCCGCTATAGATCTGTGTACGATAATACTCGAGTCTGAGCCAGACAATCAGCTGATTGATATTACATGCAAAGGTCTATACCGGTACCTACGATGACACATACAGTTCACCAAGTCGCGGAATCGGACCACTAGGTCACCATCGCTTACCACGAGTAAAGGTTGTTTGGGGATGAAGTCTAACTATCAGCTGGAACGTGTCTGTTGTACGTCCATGGCGTATGATGACGAAAACGATAAAATTGACTCAGTTACAGATAACTGGAAATGTCTCCTGTCGTCTACGTGACGGAACCTCATACCAATTTTAACTGCCTTGGGAAACTGAGTTTGTGTCATATAAGTTGCCTAAAAAGGAATAACTTCTTTGAGTGGCATTTTAGAAGCTGGAAATACAAAATGACTGTTGATGGATAGCAACTTATAAATGCTGTTACACATAAAATTTGTCATATCGCAAATAGGAAATGATCCTGATATATTATCCCTTGACAGAATTATTTTGCCGTTGTAGACACCTTTTCCTGGTTCCAACACCGTGCGATTTTGATTACTGAACGCCTGGAAGCTAAAATGTCGGACGACTACAAATGGACACCGCTTCTTTCTTATACGAAAATCGCACGTTACAGCAAATACACGTATTGCATTGTCATTATCGTAATTTTAAATTCCATAAATCATTTACTCATAGGATCTTCAGATATTTTTTATGACTGCACTACACTTACACATACGTGACATCGTGACATACCTGATGTACAGTCCTCTCCCTCCCATTCTGTAGCAATATTCGGATAGATAATCATTGCATAAAAAGTGTTGCAATATTTTGTGTATATACAACTGATACTAGCTACAGTGCCATTAGTTCAAATTTAGTAACGGGAACTGAACCTTCAAATGTGGCATGGGCTGAACCCCCTGTCACTCAAGTATACAACTGTCATACTACAAGGCACAGACATACATGTATTTTACGTCTGTTGGGATATGTCCGGGGTATATTGCAAGCTACATATACTTTGGCTATTACAATGAGATGACGTAAACCATCTATTTGAAATACAATGGATATCACTTCACCTTGCCTGCAGTCCACTCCTCCATCCTGCCTGACATCCTCCATCACACCGTCCTGTATCCCGGGAACAGGTGCTCCCATCTCCCTGGCACATCCGGGTACTGCAGGTTTTGAGACACCTGACCCCGTATTCCACACCTTGGACACAGGCTGTAAAATATGGTTGTCAGCTATATGTTGGGTCTAATTCAGATGGTGTCTGCAATAACTCTAAAGACATACATTCAGTGAAATATGACACTTTCCGATGTCTCTTACCTGTAGTGCAGTCCTCCCCTTCCATCCTGCCTGACATCCATCTGTACACCGTCCTGTGTCCCGGGGACAGGTGCTCCCATCTCCCTGGCACATCCGGGAAGAACACGCCCCTCTACAGTCAGGGCCGTACTCGACATTGTCGACACATTCTGTCAAGAATCACCAAACAGTTTGTTATCATTATTTCCGTCTGCCACAACAGAAGTGGGCATTGGGTGGTCCACGTTCTACGAGTCATCGTGAAAGTTAATATTAAAGTATAACAGGTGAAACATTGAAGAAAAAGACCACTACGTGTGGTAGTGACAAAACAAACAAGTGTAGAAGTGAGCACAGCTCACATTCCCCGCTTCCCACTGTGGGACATGGGACTGATGTTGATATATATAATGTGACAAGGATCAGCAGCTCACATTCCCCCGCTTCCCACTGTGGGACATGGGACTGATGTTGATATATATAATGTGACAAGGATCAGCAGCTCACATTCCCCCGCTTCCCACTGTGGGACATGGGACTGATGTTGATATATATAATGTGACAAGGATCAGCAGCTCACATTCCCCGCTTCCCACTGTGGGACATGGGACTGATGTTGATATAAATAATGTGACAAGGATCAGCAGCTCACATTTCCCCGCTTCCCACTGTGGGACATGGGACTGATGTTGATAAATATAATGTGACAAGGATCAGCAGCTCACATTCCCCTTCCCACTGTGGGACATGGGACTGATGTTGATATATATAATGTGACAAGGATCAGCAGCCCACATTCCCCGCTTCCCACTGTGGGACATGGGACTGATGTTGATATATATAATGTGACAAGGATCAGCAGCTCACATTCCCCCGCTTCCCACTTTGGGACATGGACATGGCTGATGTTGATATATATAATGTGTCAAGGATCAGCAGCTCACGTTCCCCGCTTCCCACTGTTGGACATGGGACTGATGTTGATATATATAATGTGACAAGGATCAGCAGCTCACATTCCCCCGCTTCCCACTGTGGGACATGGGACTGATGTTGATATATATAATGTGACAAGGATCAGCAGCTCACATTCCCCAGCTTCCCACTGTGGGACATGGGACTGATGTTGATATATATAATGTGACAAGGATCAGCAGCCAACAGGATCTATGGGTAATAACTAACATGTGTGTGGCGTTTGGTGAACCTAGCATGTATGGTTTCGGTGATATGCTCTGGACAAGATAAGTTTGGTGAACCTAGCATGTATGGTTTCGGTGATATGCTCTGGACAAGATAAGTTTGGTGAACCTAGCATGTATGGTTTCGGTGATATGCTCTGGACAAGATAAGTTTGGTGAACCTAGCATGTATGGTTCGGTGATATGCTCTGGACAAGATAAGTTTGGTGAACATTATAGCATGTATGGTTTCGGTGATATGCTCTGGACAAGATAAGTTTGGCGAACCCTAGCATGAATGGTTTCGGTGATATGCTCTGGACAAGATAAGTTTGGTGAACCTAGCATGTCTTGTTTCTCTGATATATGCTCTGTACAAGATAAGTTTGGTGAAAATAGCATGTAAACCTTAAGAGATATGCTCCGGACAAAGTTGCTGGACGGAAGGACGGAATGGACGCCATATAATAATTTAACATTGTTTAAGATATTTACAGCAATATTCTTTTAGACGAATACTAAATGATTAACATAAACAGGCCGTGTTATCTGTTTTGTGTTGGTCTGAACTATCTTAATAACTGAATACACAATTGTATTAGTAACATGCACATGTCATTTCTGGCCACTGTGGCAATACTACAGAGCTACTTACATTTTTTACTTACTTTTTGCGTTACATCTTCAAATCATTAATATACACAAAAAACATATGTGGAAATTGCTCTTGATCAGTTTGATTTGGATTGTATAACTTCCGCAAAGTAACGTTCTCGACAAAGTGAGACATACGTATTGTCAGGCTGACTGTTTTATAACTGAAAACACACACTCACACTCACACTCACACACTCACCACTCACACACACACACACACACACGCACACACACACACACATGCCCACGCACGCCTACCCTTACCACCACCACCCCCACCCCATCAACCCTAGCACCCAGTACAACTGGTCAAAACATCTTGTCCGAAAAGGATATCACGTTTGTTGCTTGGTTAGTTACCTTTCTGCCCAACCATTACCCCACGACATGTCAACACATTCATCCCCCATCTTTTCCCCATCCTTTGTTCCATGACAACCTTTAGTCTACACGTGTTCCTCTGTTGTTCATTATGTACTCACCGACATCGCAGTTGGTTCCCTTCCAGCCTGCCAGACATCCACCTGGAGGACAAACCCCCGTGATGTCGTTACAGACGCCGTCTTTACAGTGGCAGTAGTTCTCACAGTCAGCACCAAAGGTACCCGGATCACAAGCTGGCAAGAAATAACAAACTGGGTCACAATTGTCGAGCACCTCAAGATACTACTGACATTGTTTTAACCATTGACAAATACAAGGATGTATTTCAGACATTAATATTGCTCTTTTCCTTCTTCCGGGTGAAAGGTGTATGGTCTGTTCCCATAAATATATTATAAATGTATTCTATTATACCCAATAAGTGACTTGATGTCTTCTTCTCTGTGAAATTTGCATTTAAAGACTGGTGACAACACTGAATAAATGTCCCTCAAGACCCCTCATTACATCCCCATAAATGGGAGTCCGACTATTAACCATTGGTTTCGAATCAGTAACTGGTCATCAAAAACTCTATACTCAATCTATACTTGATAACTAGAAACATCACATTAAAAATCAAAGGTTATGTATTTTGGTACGAAATTAGAGTTTCTTACCATTCACCTCCACCTCACAAAAGTCCATTATAGGTTGTGTATCCCTATTATTAGCTGTAGTTGTGTACAAAAGTACGTAGCGCCCTCTGCCGTGACAGGGGAAAGATGTGGTGTTGTTGATGTCAGGCCCATCTACTCTTCCTGTCACAGTGTAGCAGAGGAGACCGCTGGGTATGGTGGTGGTGTTGGTGAGGTACACCTGGATGCCGTTTCTTCTGGGTGTATCTGTACATAACGAAGATGAAGTAGATGTTTAATATGTTTGTTTATTCTCAATAAAAACACAATTAAAAACATTTCCATGTTCATGACACCATTTCCGTTTTGAGAGAAACATATGCCAAGTGCAGGATAACTATATTAACTCTTCTAGGTTTAACTATATGACTCCTAGGCTGCTAAATTAATATATGCTGCTATTGTAATAACACACTTCAAGTTGATCAAATCTTTCTGGTTTGTTCATGCGTTATGCTAAAACGAAAATTACATGTTTAAGTTGAGAAAAAATAAGATTAATTACTTCAAAACATTGTATATCTTGCTTCAACACTGCTCGATCTACATGCCTCTTCTAGTGTATACTATAAGTGTAGAACTGACCATTCGTCACAGAGAGGAGCAGGTGGTGTTGCTCTGTTTATCCGGAAAACATTAAGCAGCTCTGTGCTCTACGTATCAGAGAGTGACAACATCCTTGGTGCAAAGGTGACTATTAACGGGACCACAACATTTATAATTGGCACCCGACTTCCGCCCACAAACGTGCTTGATTGTCGGTATTGTGAAGAACTGTATAATACCTTTGATCTATATGACAAGTGCGCTCAAGAAGCAGAGACAATATTAGTTGGCGATTTTAATGCTGACGTAAGACACTGTGTTGACTCAAAGCGTAGAGCTAAGTATCTAAATAGGGTTCTAACAGAACGAAACCTTGTATCTGTTATACCTCTGGGTGATAGTAATGTTTTTACTTATTCCAACAAGTGTAAAACACAAAGAATTCTGATTGACTACGTCTTCATAGACTGTGATCTCAGAAATAGGGTACTGGGTTATGCTATTGACAATAACATAAGCTATGCTGTATCCGACCACTTTGCTATCCTCACGGTGTTTCGTAGTGAAACTCCTACATACAGCTATACTGGTGGTATACATCTAAATTGGCGAAAAGCCAATCAAGTAGATCTCTCATTGTATCGATATGAAGCTGAAAAGTATTTTAGAAATGTTGAATGAAAATGCTCCAAGTATACGTCTCCAGAAGAATATATCGAAGCTCAAAATGCATATGTAACCCAATCTCTCCATTCTGCAGCAAATATAAGTATCCCTTCCAGGCAAACTTGAGTCCATATTGGAAAAAAGATAATTTGAAAGATCTACATAATACAATGAGAAATTGTCGTAATGAATGGATCCGTAATGGTAAAATCCATGATAAAGAGAATAGTTACTACATTGCATATCAAGAAGCCAAACGTATTTTCCGAAAACGACATCGTCAATCAAAGAAACATGAGGATGATCTTAAATTCAAAGGAATTTATGAGGCTTCCGAACTAGGTATGCACGAGTACTTTAAAGCTATCGAAATATACAAACGTAAAAAAGAATACACTCAAGTTCTCACTTACGAAAACACATCTTGTAATACTCAGGAAGGTATATGTGACCTATTTGCTAATATTTCAGAGACCTATCTCTACCATGTACACATGTTAATTTTGATTCAGATTTTACTGATTATGTAAATAACTTTGTATCTCAACTTGAGAATACTCATGCTGACTGTGATGATGCTTTTACACTGCTTCAGTGTCCTTTTACGTTTGATGAACAGTTATGCACTATTCGGCGACTTAAGAACGGCACATCACCTGGACCTGATCGCCGGTAGATCTGTCGTTAATCACCTAGTAGCACTTTACAATGCTATTGTTCATTATGAATATCTACCTTGTGGTTATAATGTTGCTACCATACCCCCATTCACAAAGGGAAAGGTAAAAGCACATGCGATCCTTCAAATTACCGGGGAATAACTTAAACTCCTATTTTCAGCAAATTATTCGAAAGAGTCATCTTAGAAAGAATAGAAAATTGGTGTTGTCACAGTAAACCTTTCCCGCACAAGTATCAATTTGGATTCCGTAAAGGTGCTGGCGCTGAAACAGCTGCATTAACACTGTTAGAAAGTATAGCTTGGGATAGAATATGGCTCAATGGATTATTTTATAAACTCCATCACTTTGGTATAAATAGTAAACTGTGGCGTATCTTACGTATTAAATATACTTCAATGCAGTCTTGTGTTACAATAGGGGGAGTTGCATCTTCTCCATTTCCTGTAAAACAAGGTGTTGGTCAAGGCTGTGTTTTGTCAGCTTGGTTATTTTCATTGTATATTAATGACCTATTATGCGCACTAGAATCATTACAACACGGTTTAAGTCTTCCATAGGGTAATGTGCCAGGTATCTTATTAGCAGATGACAAAATTATTGTAAGTGGAGCCATAGATGGCCTACAGTGTGCACTAAATGTGTGTTTTGAGTACTCTTGTAAATGGCATCTTAAATATCATGCCGACAAAAGTGTATTCTTATTGTTTGGTAATACCCAAATACATACATGTCCATCATTTTACATTGGGGAGAACATTGTAACTCAAAAAGATGTTGTTGTGTATGCTGGCTTGTACATAACCACTGCATCTTGTTATGTATGCTGGCTTGTACACAACCACTGCATCTTGTTGTGTATGCTGGCTTGTTCATAACCACTGCATCTTGTTGTGTATGCTGGCATTGTTCATAACCACTGCATCCACTGCATTGTTGTGTATGCTGGCTTGTACATAACCACTGCATCTTGTTGTGTATGCTGGCTTGTTCATAACCACTGCATCTTGTTGTGTATGCTGGCTTGTACATAACCACTGCATCTTGTTGTGTATGCTGGCTTGTACATAACCACTGCATCTTGTTGTGTATGCTGGCTTGTACATAACCACTGCATCTTGTTGTGTATGCTGGCTTGTACATAACCACTGCATCTTTGTTGTGTATGCTGGCTTGTTCATATCTTGTTGTGTATGCTGGCTTGTACATGCATCTTGTTGTGTATGCTGGCTTGTTGTTGTTGTGTATGCATTGTACACCACTTCATCTTGTTGTGTATGCTGGCTTGTACATAACCACTGCATCTTGTTGTGTATGCTGGCTTGTTGTGTATGCTGTTCATAACATAACACTGCATCTTGTTGTGTATGCTGGCTTGTACACATGCAACCACTGCATCTTGTTGTGTATGCTGGCTTGTACATAACCACTGCATCTTGTTGTGTATGCTGGCTTGTGCATAACCACTGCATCTTGTTGCATCTGGCTTGTACATGTGTATCTTGTTGGTACATTGTACATAACCACTGCATCTTGTTGTGTATGCTGGCTTGTACATAACCACTCCATCTTGTTGTGTATGCTGGCTTGTACATAACCACTGCATCTTGTTGTGTATGCTGGCTTGTACCACTGCATCTTGTTGTGTATGCTGGCTTGTACATAACCACTGCATCTTGTTGTGTATGCTGGCTTGTACATAACCACTGCATCTTGTTGTGTATGCTGGCTTGTCTTGTTGTGTATGCTGGCTTGTACATAACCACTGCATCTTGTTGTTGCTGGCTTGTGCACAACCACTGCTGGCTTGTGTATGCTGGCTTGTACATAACCACCGCATGCTTTGTTGTAACCACTGCATCTTGTTGTGTATGCTGGCTTGTTCATAACCACTGCATCTTGTTGTGTATGCTGGCTTGTACATAACCACTTCATCTTGTTTGTTGTGTATGCTGGCTTGTGTACATAACCACTGCATCTTGTTGTGTATGCTGGCTTGTACATAACCACTGCATCTTGTTGTGTATGCTCTTGTTGTGTATGCTGGCTAACCACTGCATCTTGTTGTGTATAACCACTGCATCTTGCTGGCTTGTACACATAACCACTGCATCTTTGTTGTGTATGCTGGCTTGTACATAACCACTGCATCTTGTTGTGTATGCTGGCTTGTACATAACCACTGCATCTTGTTGTGTATGCTGGCTTGTACATAACCACTGCATCTTGTTGTGTATGCTGGCTTGTACATAACCACTGCATCTTGTTGTTGTGTATGCTGGCTTGTACATAACCACTGCATCTTGTTGTGTATGCTGGCTTGTACATAACCACTGCATCTTGTTGTGTATGCTGGCTTGTACATAACCACTGCATCTTGTTGTGTATGCTGGCTTGTACTTGTACATAACCACTTCATCTTGTTGTGTATGCTGGCTTGTACATAACCACTGCATCTTGTTGTGTATGCTGGCTTGTTCATAACCACTGCATCTTGTTGTGTATGCTGGCTTGTTCATAACCACTGCATCTTGTTGTGTATGCTGGCTTGTACATAACCACTGCATCTTGTTGTGTATGCTGGCTTGTACATAACCACTGCATCTTGTTGTGTATGCTGGCTTGTACATAACCACTGCATCTTGTTGTGTATGCTGGCTTGTACATAACCACTGCATCTTCAACTTTAGTGCGTACTCAAAAATCATGTGATAAACTGTGTGTCTGGAACAGAGTTATGTCACCATATGCCCTGTTTGCTTGTGAATTATGGTGTAAACTAACATCTAAAGAGTATGAAATACTTGAAAGAGCATAATCTTTCTTCTGTAAAAACATCCAGGGGCTCTCTAAATGTTCTTCAACAGTTGTCGCACGAGATTGTTTAAATTTACTATCAGTCCAAGCATACATAGAAAAAAACGTTGTCTTACGTTCCTTGGCAAATTATGTAGAGGTAATTTAAACTTTGTATTCAAGAATGTCTTAAACTTTAAACTTAGTCAATTCTTACTTGACTCATGTTATGAAAGAGAAGCTAAAAGTACAAAATTCCCTTACTACCATATGTTACTATTAACATATAAATACGACCTGACAGATTATGTAAATACATACATTGTGTCTGCCAGCTTTCCTAATAAAGCACAAAGGAATGTCCATGTTGCGAAAACAATCCATGAAGCTAAACTATCCATACATCTAAAGAGTTAACGTCAAGGGAAAATCAACATAGATACTATTCAGTGCGAGACCAGAATATACATAGACTATGGTAAATGTCGATCCTACGGCCTGATCTATTTCACTGTATTGCAAACTTGGTGTAAAATAGTACTCTGCGTATCCAATCAAGTGTATATATGGCACATTTGCCTACGATATTGTCAAACATGCTTTTATGTACTGCCAGCTGACAAGCCGTCAGAGAGATCTTATCGAATCAATTATTGACATAGTAGATGTAAATACGTTTTCTAGCCTTTGGAACAATGGTGAAGAATTGATTCTATGTTTCTTACTGGGAGGACTTCCAACGGAATATTGTCTATCCCTTGATGATAATGTATGGCTTGAGTGCATGACCAATGTATGTATAACTGTTAACAACTGGAAACATTTCTTTGTAAATTGTTTGTAACTATCTGTATTCCCCTGTTTCTGATCTGCATGTAAATATATCATATCACATTGTATCTTCATTCACTGGAGGAAACAAAGAATATCTATCTATCTATCTGTGTATGCTTTCATTGGATGCATGGCAGACCTGAATCCATTCTTATATATTTTACGCTTCCACGTTCTGTGACCTGGTTAGTCATTGTTTCAAGTTGATAGCTGAAATATGTATTTATTGTCTGAAGTGGATTAGTCTATACATTTGCGTATTGTTATGTCATTGTTCAACTGCGGGTTTGTTTCAGATTCAGTAGAAGTTCAGAACATTGAGTTTAACACTAATTAGTTGTCACAAATGTATTACTACCTGATATCAGCAGTGGTTTTAAAGTTATTTCATTTGGATGGGTCTGGCGTCAAGTGTGACCTGGAAGGTTCTTGAACAGCTTTAAACTTGATCCATAAACTGTATTGAACTTTCTGGAGATGGTTACACTATACCATTAAACAAAGAAGGGGATATTCAATGGAAGTTATGGATATTTTGTATATTTAAGGTGATACATAGTTTAACAGTATATCAGGGACATCTGAATGAGATTTGCATTAGTCGGTTAGCATTAGTCGGGTAGCATTAGTCATTAGCATTACTACGTCTAGCAGTAATGTGAGTCCGTCAATCGTGTCTGATTACAAATCGTTTGTCCACTCTCCCTATCTACCACCTGTAGCTCTACTCATGCCACAATGTTCTGTCTTCTAACTCCTAACATTTACAACTTCTGAAATGACAATTCCACGTAGCAGCCCCTGACATGACATTTTCCGCACGCTAACACCATCGTTTAATGTGTTTAAAACAATATCAGAACATTATTCACCAACACAATGACATGCATGACTGAACATTTCGAATGTTACTCGACCTTGTTCAAATACACATCATGAATAACGTTTACACGAAATTGGCGTATACACGAAATTCCTGAATAATCATGTTCTAAATCCACATACAAGAATACAACTTTGTACCTAAATATTATCACCTCAAATTGCACTGTTCCCTATTTTTATAGCAGGTATAAGTGGACAAGCAGATGCCTTTCAAAGTCACGAGGACCACCAGCTGTGTGAAGATCGAATACACATTCTGGACATCAAAGCTGTTTGGGAAGTGTTGCTGCTATCTGCATATTATCATCACTGATGTCATTGATATTACCAGATTTGATGAGATCACTATGTAACGATTTCGCATTGGCCATACTAGATATACGCACTAATATTTATTAGAAGGTGAGGATCCTCGTTTTTGCATCCCTTGTGATGAGAGGATCACGGTCAAACATGTCATGCTTGACTGTATTGATGTTTTTCCATCACAAGGGATAAATATTTCAATGCCAAATCTGTGAAGGATCCTTTTAATGTTAATTTTCAATTTTTTAGTGAATTTTCAAAAGAACAAATTGATACATTTTGATTGATATGTTTTGTATTATATATTGTATTATTGGTAGTTTTAATCAGCAACTTAGAATGCTAGTGGCTGTATCCTCACAGGCGGATGAAGTAGCGCAAAATTATTGTCCTCCTGTGAGTGTATGTAAGTCCCCAAACTTTCCAAGTAAATTTATACTTACCAGACTTTTAAACGTAGTATTTGTGTAAGTTTAAATTATGGGTGAAAGTTCCTACTAGCTCCAGCGGCTGAAGGGATGGTGTAAATCCTACTATGGTAAATGCAGGTAGCAACGTTACTATCAGTCCCCATGGTCCCTAGTATGGTGATCTACCTTCAGTTGTGGGCGATCTACAGCCCGTTTTTATATTGTATCGTCCTCTGTAGTTAAACCGTTTTAGAATTAATTACTAGTTTCTAAATTGATATCTGTGATAATCTAGTTGTTTTACTGTCCTTCGTTGACAAGTGTGTCAGATTTGCTTTTAATCATTATAAATCTATAACTTGATTTAGTCACGATATGGCTGAAGAAGTGACTCACTCACTCATTGCTATTAGGGACCGTTCATAATTTATGGCCAGGGGGGGTGATGATGATTTTTGTGGAGAAGCATGTACAATGTCAATGACCCCCCCTAAAATTTATGTACAAAATAAGTGACACCCCCACACACACACACACCCCACCCCCAACCCCCTGCATGTCATGTACAAAATCAATGACCCACCTCCCCTTCCCACAATTTCTAAGCATAATTTTAAACATATTTTTTATGTAAAAAATTGCTGGCCCCCCTAGTACGTGTGTAAAAAAATGCTCCCATTGTAATAACTTTGCAGTTATTGAACTGAAAACCTAGTTAGTTTCTGTTATTGAACTGAAAAACTAGTTAGTTTCTGTTAACTGTGTATCAGTTCTACGTTATTTGTTGTTTTCAAATTTTCTGGGTCACGTGATAGTTTCTATTTGCATGTCGACATGAAAAGTAGAAATGAAATTAGAAGGGGCAACCCGTTGCAATCATAACGTAAGAATGCTATCGAAAATGACATAACTGCCAATCTTTTGATCGATTCCATCACTATACTGGTACCTAGATGCGACTCGAGTTTGAGGCATAGCATCCAAAGTATATTTCACATCAATCATGCCCAATTTAAACTTTCTTTCATATGAGAAATGGTCTGATCTGTGTATATCTGCATGTATTACTGATTCGATCATGACTCGAGTAAACACTTAATTGTGATTGGTTACTTAAAGTCCATCAAAGCTAATTAATCACGTTATACAAGTTTCTAATTATACATGTTTTAAGGCAATACGTTGTTTTAGGGTGATTGCCAACATGGCATTACTTTGCGGTCTTTTCATCGATTCCAAACACCACGATGCCGTATACTGATGCCTTGACCCGAGTTCGAGGCATGTTATCACAACATAACGTAGATCTAAACAAAAGTTTACATTGAATGTGCTTGACAATTTACTTGATAACTGGAAAACGTTTCTCATTATATGACATTAGTGAGTGATTCTTCACCGGGATCGAGTGAGTGAGTTAATATTTAACGTCACATCGGCAATATCTCAGCCATATCGTGACGAAAACAATTTATATAATACAAAAATGATAACATTATGAAGAGTTAAACTTGTCGACGATGGGCAGAAAAAAAACTAGAGTATCACAGATATGAACATAAAACTAGCATGTAAAACTAAAACAGTGTAGTTAAATAAGACAATACAATATAAAACACGGGCTATAGATCGCCAGCATCTGAAGGTAGATCAGCATGCAAGGAACCATGGGGATCTTCACCGGGAAAAGGAAACATTAGGATCCCGGAGAAGTCCAACTACGATCAAAAACCTGTGGCTTCATGTAAGTCAGATTCTCAAAATCAGTAGCTGATGAGAATGGGTCATAACCTAGCTACTATCTTACTAGCTACTTAATGTGTTGGCCGCCATATTACCAAAAACGTAATACTTACAGTCAGTTCTGAAGTAAATGGTGACGTCATGCATCAACACTGTGTCATTGGGATCCACTCGCCACCAGTTGGGATTGCTGCCCTTTGTCTCTACACAGACAGTGTAACTAATGACAATCAGTCATGATACTATACTTACAGTCAGTTCTGAAGTAGATGGTGACGTCACGTATCAACACTGTGTCATTGAGATCCACTCGCCACCAGTTGGGGTTGCTGCCCTTTGTCTCTATACAGACAGTGTAACTAATGACAATTAGTATTGATACTATACTTACGGTCAGTTCTGAAGTAGATGGTGACGTCACGTATCAACACTGTGTCATTGGGATCCACTCGCCACCAGTTGGGATTGCTGCCCTTTGTCTCTACACAGACAGTGTAACTAATGACAATCAGTCATGATACTATACTTACAGTCAGTTCTGAAGTAGATGGTGACGTCACGTATCAACACTGTGTCATTGAGATCCACTCGCCACCAGTTGGGGTTGCTGCCCTTTGTCTCTATACAGAAAGCGTAACTGTTTGCAGCAGTGTTTCCGTCAGTGGCTTGGGATGATGGGTAAAGACCTTCTCCACTGGATGATGTAGGTTTCACCCTCGCAAGGTTATCTGGAAAATGCATCCAGGACGATTGTCTTCCAGTATATTCATCTTGTTTGGATCCAAGGTTTTCAGCACAACATCAAGACATCTCAATAACATGACCTATCGTTCCACTCAGTACCAAGCTGAGTATACTTTTTATGCTACCTACTTATTATAATGCTTACACAGAAGGTAAACGTGTTCCGATTGCAGGACTCTATGTTTTCATGGTACAAATGAGTGTTTGTACTTTCAGTTCCATTACGTGCCACACTGGCCATTTTGTATTGGACTTTTGTTAAACAAAGCTTATTTTACGTCCAACATTTTCAATAAACAAAGTATACTGAAAGGCAAAAGAAACGTCGTGATATTAGAAATGACATTTAAGTATCAATGGATTATTTGAACCTATATTTTGGAAAATATACACCGGAAGTCAAGTTTGAGGAAAACATGAATCGTGGTCGTATAGCCTGTTTTCCCATTAGAGTATTGTTTGAGATTGAGGTTGATTGAGGTTAGCTGCTGTGTTCAGAAAACAAGTGAACAACTGCCATTCAAGCCGACAATCTATACCTGAATGCGTGCATGACACGCGTGCATCTCGATTTCAATGTTGTGTTTGTGCGAACTCTTCCCTTTCCACAAACAAAAACATTTCAAACCTCAATCTCAAACAATACTTTATTGGGCAATACAGGCTATACGACCACGATTCATGTTTTCCTCAAACTTGACTTCTGGTGTATATTTGTAAAAAATACTCCATTTGTAATTAGATGTCATTTCCAATATTACGACGTTTCGTTCGCCTTTCAGTATATTTATGTTCGGTGTGTAAAACCATAAGACATAATTTTTCGCTGCGGAATTATACATAGTTCACATTGGCGGACATCATGTATAGCTACCATCCCTTAACCAACTTACATCAATAATAAACCACAAATCAATGAAGTATGGGGAGATTGTGTCCTATTCATACCTCATAAGTCAACAACATTCAATGATTAATGTACGTAGTTCAACTACACTTATTTGTACAATTAACGGTCTGTCCCAATTGTTGACACAACTTCAACCTGGTATGTATTAACTCCTCTTGGTACAGAATGAACACACGTCTAAAGCCCCTTCACCCATGGTCCCTAGAGCCGTACACGATGTGAATTCGTTTACAATCCGATTGACTGAAGGCATATAGGTCGTAAAAAGAGACAATCTATAACCATATTCATACGTCTATTCCAACAAAAAAAACCTCGTCAAACCACAAGATTCCAGGAGCGTGACTCAGAAGACAGGAAAACATAGCAGTGATGACACAAGTGTTTCCTTTAATCAGGGTGATTCTTAATGGATGTGACCCCTTAGGACAAAACAGAGTATATAACCTCTATAAGTTAAAAGAAGAGAAATGTGTGACCCCAGAGTCAAACATAAACTAAGCTTTAATTATGTTACCGTGTCAGTAGTTGTGTGGTAGTGTAGTTACATACGTTTCTGACATGTCGGACCAGACCACCCTGGGGAACAGTTTGGCGGACTGCAGCCGGAAGTAGGATTACACTTGTCCTGGTCACAGTTACATGTGTAACCACAGTTGTACCCGTATGTACCACCAGGACAGTTGCCTGTAACAGAAGAATTACATCAGAGATAGACAGTGACACTGGTAGCCGTATGTACCATCAAAACAGCTGTCTGTAACAGAAGCATTACATCAGAGATAGACAGTGACACTGGTAGCCGTATGTACACTCAGGACAGCTGTCTGTAGCAGAAGTATTACATCAGAGATAGACAGTGACACTTGTAGCCGTATGTGCCATCAGGACAGCTGTCTGTAATAGAAGTATTACATCAGAGATAGACAGTGACACTGGTAGCTGTATGTACCATCAAGACAGCTCCCTGTAACAGAAGTATTACATCAGAGATAGACAGTGACACTGGTAGCCGTATGTACCATCAAGACAGATCCCTGTAACAGAAGTATTACATCAGAGATAGACAGTGACACTGGTAGCCGTATGTACCATCAGGACAGCTGCCTGTAACAGAAGTATTACATCAGAGATAGACAGTGACACTGGTAGCCGTATGTACCATCAGGACAGCTGTCTGTAACAGAAGTATTACATCAAAGATAGACAGTGACACTGGTAGCCGTATGTACACTCAGGACAGCTGCCTGTAACAGAATTATTACATCACAGATAGACAGTGACACTGGTAGCCGTATGTACCATCAGGACAGCTGTCTGTAACAGAAGTATTACATCAGAGATAGAGAGTTACACTGGTAGCCGTATGTACCATCAAGACAGATGTCTGTAATAGAAGTATTACATCAGAGATAGACAGTAACAGTGGTAGCCGTTTGTACCATCAGGACAGCTGCCTGTAACAGACGTATTACATCAGAGATAGACAGTGACACTGGTTGCCATATGTACCATCAGGACAGCTGTCTGTAATAGAAGTATTACATCAGAGATAGACAGTGACACTGGTAGCCGTTTGTACCATCAGGACAGCTGCCTGTAACAGAAGTATTACATCAGAGATAGACAGTGACACTGGTAGCCGTATGTACCATCAGGACAGCTGTCTGTAACAGAAGTATTACATCAGAGATAGACAGTGACACAGGTAGCCGTATGTACCATCAGGACAGCTGCCTGTAACAGAATTATTACATCAGACATAGTCAGTGACACTGGTAGCCGTATGTACCACCAGGACAGCTGCCTGTAACAGAATTATTACATCAGAGATAGAAAGTGACACTGGTAGCCGTATGTACACTCAGGACAGCTGCCTGTAACAGAAATATTACATTAGAGATAGACAGTGTCCCTTGTAGCCGTATGTACCATCAGGACAGCTATCTGTAGCAGAAGTATTACATCAGAGATAGACAGTGACACTGGTAGCCATATGTACCATCAGGACAGCTGTCTGTAATAGAAGTATTACATCAGATATAGACAGTGACACTGGTAGCCGTATGTACCATCAGGACAGCTGTCTGTAATAGAAGTATTACATCAGAGATAGACAGTGACACTGGTAGCTGTATGTACCATCAAGACAGATCCCTGTAACAGAAGTATTACATCAGAGATAGACAGTGACACTGGTAGCCGTATGTACCATCAAGACAGATCCCTGTAACAGAAGTATTACATCAGAGATAGACAGTGACACTGGTAGCCGTATGTACCATCAGGACAGCTGCCTGTAACAGAAGTATTACATCAGAGATAGACAGTAACAGTGGTAGCCGTTTGTACCATCCAGACAGCTGCCTGTAACAGACGTATTACATCAGAGATATACAGTGACACTGGTAGCCGTATGTACACTCAGGACAGCTGCCTGTAACAGAAATATTACATTAGAGATAGACAGTGTCCCTGGTAGCCGTATGTACCATGAAGACAGCTATCTGTAACAGAAGCATTACATCAGACATATACAGTGACACTGGTAGCCGTATGTACCATTAGGACAGCTGTCTGTAACAGAAGTATTACATCAGAGATAGACAGTGACACTGGTAGCCGTATGCACCATTAGGACAGCTGTCTGTAACAGAAGTATTACATCAGAGATAGACAGTGACACTGGTAGCCGTATGCACCATTAGGACAGCTGTCTGTAACAGAAGTATTACATCAGAGATAGACAGTGACACTGGTAGCCGTATGCACCATTAGGACAGCTGTCTGTAACAGAAGTATTACATCAGAGATAGACAGTGACACTGGTAGCCGTATGTACCATCAGGACAGCTGTCTGTAACAGAAGTATTACATCAGAGATAGACAGTGACACTGGTAGCCGTATGTACCGCCAGGACAGCTGCCTGTAACAGAAGTATTACATCAGAGATAGACAGTGACACTGGTAGCCGTATGCACCATGAAGACAGCTGCCTGTAACAGAAGTATTACATCAGAGATAGACAGTGACACTGGTAGCCGTATGTACCATCAGGACAGCTGTCTCTCACAGAAGTATTACATCAGAGATAGACAGTGACATTGGTAGCCGTATGTACCATGAAGACAGCTGCCTGTAACAGAAGTATTACATCAGAGATAGACAGTGACAGTGGTAGCCGTATGTACCATCAGGACAGCTGTCTGTAATAGAAGTATTACATCAGAGATAGACAGTGACAGTGGTAGCCGTATGTACCATCAGGACAGCTGTCTGTAATAGAAGTATTGTATCAGAAATAGTCAGGAGCTGTCATTTTCCCACACCTCTTGGTTCTTGTGTGCAATTTGGTCATATGAGCAATTATATTATATCAAACTGACAACACAAGAAGAAGTGTAATTTCAACTTGGGAGTCAACTGTACTGTCAGCTAAATGAACTGTCTAAAGGAGAATCAATGTCAAACTAATCAGAAACATGATTTTGTGTTTGGGACACTAAACCGCATCCCATTTTACACAAAACTTCCATACTAGATATTGTTCGTAGGCTCCAAGAATGTCTGTATGTTGTACAACTGTTACTCTTGTGTCAGTAACTGGACAAGGTTCACGTGGCTGGGATGTAGCGACATGTCTAGAGGTACTGCATGATGTGTTGAAGTTTTGTCATTGGTTGTAATGTCGGATAGTTGTGTACAACGTTGAAAAATGATAATGTTGGACAAAACTGAACTCTGAGATGACTGTAAAATTTCAAGCAAGCCCTGCTAATGTTTTAGTACCAACATTCCACTGTCTCAAATAGTTTTCTTTGATTATGAGACTACTTGTCGTAAGAGGCAACTGAGGGGATCGGGTGGTCAGGCTAGCTGATTTGCATAGATCGATGATTATGCTGTTTATCACTTGATTGTCTGGTCCAGACTCGATTATTTACAGACCGCCGACATGTAGCTGGAATATTGCCGAGTGTAGCGTAAACTAAACTCACCCACACTCACTCACTCGTTGACAGTATTATGGAGATGGGTATTTGGTAGCAAATATGCTGGATTCGGCAACATATCTTTCCGTTGTCTAAACTACCAGTTGTCCGACTTCCATATTTGTGGAAGCCGCGGTAGGTGAGCGGGTTAGATGTCTGACTTTGTGTGCTGGCGATTAAGTGCCTGATTCTGTCTGTGTGGGTTCGAATCCCGAATGGGACTCAACCCAACAAATGTACTAGAATATGTACTTGACAAAGAAAGTGTAACCCCAAATATAACATATGTTACATAACTTTCGTGTACGGATTTGTTTGGAGCTTTTCCAGTACAAAAGACGATGGAGGAATCAGGTTTTAAGAATATAAATGCAGAGGTGACTGGAAGAAAAGGAAGTTTCTTCAGAAATTTACTTTTTACACATTTTCAGTCCAATCTTGCCTTTGTGATATAGTTCTGTTCATTTAAATAATCACCATACATAATGCATTCATCGCCAGTATTAAACTTATATCAGAGAGAGAGAAAGAAATGGAGAGAGAGAGTAAATAACAAAAAACGGTTTATTGTACAGTACAATGTGATGACAAGGAATTACTTGATGAAGCCAGTGACAAGGGAATACACGTGCAAGCCAGTTTATATACAACAAAGGCGTTAACGCTTGTATCAGTTCAGTAGCTGTTTGTATTCTGTTGTGGATGATACAGAGTTTGCATTTACTATAGACTTGCAGTCTAACTATATTTTGATAGACTAAGGTGTTAGGAATGTTAATTGTTTACAATTTATGTATTTTGATGCCACTCTCCTTCATTTGTTAATTCACAAATGCTGTGCAGTTGCATCATTGGATGCCTTCAAATCTCTTCAATATTGCAGGACATTTAGACAAGCAATAAATCAATCCGCTGTACTCATTGTCATTTCGATTCTAGTATACTCTTCCTTAGGTGGAGTGCATATCACTGCAATGTAACCATCGTTAAAATTCTTCTTGAAGTATGATTAACAAACACGCCTTCCTATACTGAAAGCCATTAAAAACGCAATTGGTATTTGTTGTCCTGAAACTGACAAAAGTTGTATTGAAGATTTTTTCCTGCGATACAGAGGATGTAGGGATAAAGGGCTGTTATTCTGGCCCATTTCGAGTTCGAGTCCCGGAGCGTTCCTCTCACATGAACTTTGATACTTAAAACTGAACCTTTGACATTTCTCGTAAACACAACCACATTCATGAAACACGCTGTGCACATGCATAACCTGCACCCATGCCCTGTAAAAGCACAAGGAATTGTGGAACTCAATCACTTTGAGAAAATGCCACACTTGACACAAGACGAAAGGAATCAGGTTATCGGTATGGTCAGCCAAGGTGCTTCAGATGTGATGATTGCCAGGCACTTTAATGTGCATCCATCCACTGCAAGTCGACTCAGACAACGTTTTCCGGCTACCGGAAGTGTTGCTGATCGTCCGCGACCTGGTGCACCACCTGTGATAACAGTTCGACAAAACCGCAATAGCCGAGTTTTGCACTTGCGCAATCGGTTCCGAACAACTGATGATTAGGCAAGGAGGACAACTGGGACAAGTCAACGTCATTTCAGCGCCCAAAAGGTGCAAGGACGCCTTGCTGCTTTCAACATCCGGTGTCGTCACCCGTTCCGTGGTCCAACCTTATTGCATCGCCACAGACTTGCCAGGCAGAGATGGGCAGCAAATTTGGCCAATCTTGGCAACAGAACAGATGTCATTTATTCAGATGAATTCAGGTTTAACTTATCCTTTGCAGATAGACGTCAACAGATTTATCGACGTAAAGGAGAAAGACTTGCGCCAAACTGTGTCCTTGAACATGATCGTTTTGGAGGGGGTGGTGTCATGATCAGACAACAGACCATCAGAGGCTGCAGACCATCCAACAGCTGCTCCTGAGAAATGTGTGTCTTTCAATGCCCAAAAGACTGCGAGCATGTCTTGCAGCGCACGGTGGACACAGACGATATTGACTGCAAGTGACCCCTCCTTAGTGTGATGTCGTTGTTGCGTCACTGATGTTGTTGTTGACTGGACATTGTCAGATGAAATTATTCACAGATGTTCACTTAAAACATATCTGTCAGTTAGGTTTATATATGTTGACATTAGTGTGAGTAAAGAAAGTATGAATGTCAAATTGCATTTATAATGGCTTTCAGTGTATAAACTTGCCCAGCCACTATTGACCTGATATTTGTCTAATGACAAGCCCCGGTTACACTATGTCAGTCTTTATCCTGATCCCGCTTGAACTATTTGTGGATTTAGGAGTTTGAGGTCACATGGTGCATGTACTAGTTTTGTGTAAAATGTATCACAGTAGAATGTTGCGGGCAGTTATGGCTGCTGGTTATCGTCAACGTAATCGATTAACATCGAACGCCGAAGGAAACCTTCTGTCCACATAAATATAGACAGTCGGCTATGAATTCAATAAAAATGATATATCTATGAGAAATATGTACTGTTTCAAATTTAGCGGTAGTATAACACTATTACCGAAGCTGTAAAATTTACTTACTACCGTTCTGTTTAGCCCATCATATTTTTCTAAAATATATAATATTGTTAAAAAACTGATTTAGCATATCACTGATTTTGTAATCACGACCCCTCTGATCCATTACACTGTTTGATCTAAAGTAGTCTTTTAAAGTATGATTAATTACCTTACCGTGTTTATGCCAGTGGTACACCCTTATGCGCTATTCAATCCTATCGGAAATATCAAGCCTCGTGTCAGCGAATCCAATACAATTGTGTACACTTTGACGCCACTAGGATATCGCACACTTTCCAAAATGTAGAAAATAGTTCCCATAGAATCGAACTTGAGCACAAGGTACACACATGAGTGAGTTAGAGCCACCGCAGTGACTCTTGTGAGGCGCGTAAAATCGTTAAGTTGACAGGGCACAAGGTTCAGCAGTAAATTCATTCAACATGGACACCTCATAACAGCAAAAGAGCCTCAACTCTTAATGTTTGCAGTCAGTCATACAACCAGGTTAACCTTGCACAAATTGTCAGAAGCTCTCCTCCCGCATCTTTCCACACCCAGTAAGTGTCGTCACTCTACACAATTACTTCCGAAAATAGGTCAAGGTCATTATTCGGTTGGGTAAAGGGTCTACGGCGGATTTATACAATGTTAGTTATTGAAGGCTTTACCACAAATCACCCAGTTTGGGGCGATGTCAACTGAGTTTGGAATGCGAGGCCGCATAAGGTATTCACGCGTAACCAAGAAAAGGGTTCCAACTGAAAATGTTCAAAAAATTGTCACGGTAGAAAAGTGTTGACGGTTCTAAATTTAATTTAAAACCGAACGCGTAATCGTGTTCTGACAAAGTCGTTTACAACACTCAGTAGAGACACCCGTTCGCCACGAATCCGCCCGTGTTTGTTGGCACATGCTGGTATAATATTGCCGAGTAACTACACTCATTTACAAGGTCGTCGTGACATGGGGATCACTGAAGAAAAGAGTTTCACTTTATTGACACATTCGTAGACAGCTGTTGTGAACTTAGCCCAACACAAACAGTAAAACCTGTCCTGCAGGTATTAGCCGTATCTACACTTGGCTTGTTGTTACTGAGTGTGTTTGGTTACCTGTCAGGTATTGGCCGTATCTACACTTGGCTTGTTGTTACTGAGTGTGTTTGGTTACCTGTCAGGTATGTAAGACTGAACAAGATAACCCCGGTATTATACTGTAACATGCTGTTATACATAGCGAATGTTAATACCTCGACAGATCTCAAAAACACATACAATCTTAACTTACATGAACAGTGTCCAAGAAGGATCACAAACAAGACCGCGACTAACTGGATTCGTACGATGGAAATGTACAAAACTTTTGTCGACGCCACCCATGGTAGTCGTGTCACTTTTTAAAAAACCTTGTTTAATACGACAACCAGTTAGTTCTTTAAACAATAGTCTTCATGAACGACGATGCTGGGCAACATCGTGAACATACCGTTGGTGATTTCTTGCGTCAAAAGCCGGTAGCAACTCCATCTTGACCCACCAGGGAGTCCAGTTCCAGAAAATCCCATAGAACATTTTTGTTATTTTGGAACAAGTCCTCAGTTGAGAATGAACGCAATATTTCAACATTGGAAACATATGTTATTCGGTGTTATTATATCAATCTTCAACACTGGAGGAAATAAAGACGATGCGTTGATCACCCATCACCATCACCATCACCTCACCATCACCATCACCATCACCATCACCATCACCATCACCATCACCATCACCATCACCATCACATCAACATCAACATCACCATCACCATCAACATCAACATCACCATCACCTCAACAACACCATCACCATCACCTCAACATCAACATCACCATCGCCTCAACATCACCATCACCTCACCATCACCATCACCTCACCATCACCTCACCATCACCATCACCATCACCATCACGATGCGTATCATTGATTTCCTAAAGTACTGGGGCGGTGGGGTAGCCTAGTGGTTAAAGCGTTGGCTCGTCACGCCGAAGACCCGGGTTCGAATCCCCACATGGGTACAATGTGTGAAGCCCATTTCTGGTGTCCCCCGCCGTGATGTTGCTGGAATATTGCTAAAAGCGGCGTAAAACCAAACACAGTCAGTCAGTCAGTCCTAAAGTACTTCACTTCTAACATATTGCGCATACCTTCTTATCCCCAATGATCCCTTTGATCTTAACACAAATATTGACATAAACGACAGTACTGATATTCTGAACAATGACTTTAGTGAACATGAAATATTATGTACCATACGAATATTAAGAAATAATAAGGGCAACATTATTAATGAATATATTAAATCTTCTGTCCCAGCTATTTTACCTTTGTATGTTAAACTATTTAATCTAATATTTGACTCGTGGATTTTTTCCCTAGCATTGGTTAAATGGTATTATTCGCCCTTCTACAAAGATAAAGGAAGTACAGATGACCCTGTAAATTTAAGTATTATAAGTTGCCTTGATAAATTATTTACCTCACTTCTCAATAAAGTGTTAAACCAATAAAGTAATACTATTTTATCAGAATCACAAGCAGAATTTAGACATGGCTACTCCATAGTTTTAGCCTGTACGCTATTATTGATCTGCTTAAAAAGAGAAAGATAAAACCGTATTGTTTTTTTTATTGATTTTCAGGGAGCTTTTGCCAATGTTTGTTTATGGAAAACGTTACTAGCGCAAGGTATTGATTGCAAATTAATTCGAATTATTGAAAATATTAGCATGTACGATGGTATTCATTCATGTGTGTGATCAAATGGTACTTACTCGGAACAGTTTCACTGTCTTATTGGAGTCCGCCAAGGGGGAACTCTCTCCCTAATGCTATTCTCTTAGTGTGTGTGGTTACCTGTCAGTTATACAATACTGGACAACATAAGCCTGTCATTTTAGTATAACATGTAGTAACACATAACGAATGTTTATACCTCGACTGATGTCGAAAAGACGTAATAGTTTAACTTACATGAACAGTGTCCAAGAAAGATCACAAACAAGACAGCAGCCCCAAGGTACTTCTCCATTGTGTCCACAGTATGACCACAGTACTACAAGGAAGTGAATGACTACAACAGGGCGACTTCTAGACAACACCCCCCACCAGTAAAATACCTGCCTCAACAGTGCATTACATTATCACTCTGTCTAACTTAGGGTCGGTCACGGACGAGGCTGAAAACCTAGTATCATCACTATTTATCAACAGTTGCCTTCGCTATAGCTGGATATAGTCGAATAAGTACAGTGGATTCTGACGAGTGAAATATACGAAAACTTTGTTGACGTTACATCAAGGTCATTCTGCCACGTTTTTAAAAAAATGTACCGCCCTCGTTATTTACGAATAATACAAAACAAACAAAACACACTTGTACGGGATTTTACATGTATTATGTATGACCGATATATTATCATTATTACATATATACCCGATACATATTTACAAAATGATGTGAGTATAGGACAAAGAACCATATACATATTTGAATTGCACGTTACACTGAGGTCATAGTCCAGATCTTATCACTGAAAGCAAAACATGTTCTATATATAAAGTGGTAATCTGACTTTCACTGTTCACTGTTCTGTGTTGGAGTGTAGGGTACAGGGTCAACATAATTGCACTGAAACACATACGTATATGTCAGTGTGGAGTAATCGTAAATAAAATACATGAAGATACATGAACTTTAACTGTCAGTTATTGAATCTAGCTGTGTCAGAGCGGCATATTACTCACTGTCTGTTTGATATTCAAGAACGGTGCGTCAGCGTGAGGTGCATATAACATTTCAACATAGTGAGTTAGTTTTCGTCCTCCGTTCTTGGACTGGATAGTTTATCAAGAATCACATTCTGTATCACTGAAGGAAACCACAACATGCAAGTTTTGAGCTTCCCTGACACTGAAATCACGGGAAGCGAGAAATATACAGATCTCAGCTTGTTTATTATTGCCATCACTGATTCATTGACAATTCACAGGGTTATTATATATACTCAGCAGCAATAAAAACGTCAGTATGAATTGAAAATTAGATAGGCACGGTAATCAAATCATTACAGAAATGGACATAATAAGCGGATCAAACATTTTTTGTGTACAATATCCTGACACATCAATGAATAACTCAGCACAATTCCAAGACATTACGTGAACGTTTGCAGTCCTTTCAGACTCTTGACTTCAGTGGCACCCTTGAAGAGCCACCTCCTCGTGGTGGTAGCTGGGTAACGCTGAGCGCTCTTCAACCCCCCGTTGTGGACCGAGGGGTTGGGGTGGGGGTATATTTGGTCCATCAACTCGTTTGCCGTGGGTTGCGCCCCCTGTGTCGGTGGAGGACGGGAGTCTGGTGGTTGAGGGCACTAGTTCCAGGAACAGTATTCCTTTGCCCAACACACCACTTTGCCCCTTACTTTACCTTGAATGAGCCCGGTTCAAACAATCGGCTGGTCATGCTAAGCCCTGTACATGCATGTTTGTTATACAAAATTTAGAAACTATTCAAATTTTGTCAGTTGTCTTAGTTTTATGATAGTATATTTGCATTTCGATCAAGTAACTATAATTTAGTTTTTTCCTAGAGTCCTATCTCCAGAAGGCAGTGGCTCATGGGCCAATCTGGTGGAATAATTACTTGTTAATTATTCTGCTTGAGTATGTCATCCGGGTATCCTTGGTGTTGAAAGCCGGAAATCCACTTGCTATCAGCATTGTCCTTATGATACTCCGTGGTGGGTGGGGAGCTCGGATGATAAATCAATATATACTCACCATGGAATACGAAACCCCCTCTAAGAAAACAAAACGTCCTCTTGACAACGATGATGACAAACGACCCTCCACAACAGTTGATTACTGGCCACGTTTCTTGATTATTGAGACCTTGGATAAGACTCCCCTTTCAACTGACTCCTTTTGCGATTTCAAAAAAGGTGTTTATGGCATAGCAGGAGAAGTCAAGACCGGTAAGCGCTTGCGGTTAGGATCACTTTTAATTGAATGCAACAGGAAACAGCAAGCAACCAACCTGCTATCGACAGATATGTTTGTTGGTGTTCCCGTTCTAGTCTCTGCTCATAGAACCTTGAACACTAGCAAAGGGATTGTACGAGACAGAGATCGTCTCTTTTCAGATATGACGGAGATTGATATCTAAGATGAAGGACCAAGGAGTGTTATATGTCAGAAGATTTACCAACCGTAAAATAATGAAACTGTACCAACAAACGCTTATCTCTTTTCGTTTTCCGCGCCAAATCCTCCAAGATCAATCAAAGCAGGTCATTGCAATGTGAACGTTGATGCGTACATCCCCAGTTCTCTGTGGGGGTTTAAAATGCCAAAAGTATGGACATGGTGTGAATAACTGCACATTGTCTGTTACATGTGCTCACTGTGCTGAGAATACACATGTAACAGAAGATTGTGACAATAGTTATGAAAAATGCGCCAACTGCCACGGAAGTCATTCATCCTTTTCTAAAGATTGTCCTATGTGGATAAAAGCAGATGGAAATAAACAGGATTAAATATACCAGAAATATCAACTTTACTGAAACAAAAGAGTGTGTTCAATCTACAGAACATACTAAAACCTATGCCTCCATCGCCAGCACATCAACCGTAACAACCCATAAAGAAAGTCCTTCAACAGTAACTATTCTTACTTCCTCACACTCCTGCCACACAGACTTGACATGGGTGAACTCTGACGCTCCCAAACGCTTTTCGCCTGATCAGTCTACTCAGACGGCGAAATCACTTCCTGCACAGCAGACCCTCTCGCAGGAACAATCATCTCCTATTCCACCAACTTCTATTCCACCAACTAGTTCTCAACCTGAAAGAACAGAGGAACAAACCGGAAAGACCAAAATCAAATCAAGAACAGAAACTTCAAAACCAGATCGAGCACCCAAAGGGTCAGATCAGATAAAAATGTATAATAAGTTTGGGTCCCTAGAGGATATGGATGTGTCTGATAGCATCCACCCAAGGGCACATAGCTTGTCGCCCTCCAAGAAAGTGCGGGACCGATCCCCAATCAACCCACCAAAAAGATACAGTGGAATTGTAGAGGACTAAGGGTTAATTTTAATGAATTACAGCTATATATTAGTCCAAGATTTTACACCTTCAGCATTCTGTCTTCAGGAATCCTATCTGAAACAGACAGATACGTTTTATTTACGCCAGTTCGATACCTATCATTCTTTTTTCACCTCCAGGCGGATCTTCAATACTTGTTAAACAGGATGTTATCCATAGTCCTGTGGCACTTACAACTAATCTCCAAGCTGTTGCAGTTAGACTCACGCTTCACGTTACCTTTACATTGTGTTCTCTGTATATTCCGCCTTCTTCAGTACTCCAGCTGTCTGATCTTCAAGCCCTCTATGACCAACTTACGAAACCCTGTATTATAATGGGTGATCTCAATGGTCATAACCCACTCTGGGGTGGTACAAACACTAACTCTAAAGGTACAATACTGGAAGATTTTATATCCGCTAATGACTCATGTATATACAATGACGATTCCAGCTCTTATCTAAATCCTGCAACTGGCACCTACTCTTCTCTGGATTTATCTCTTGCAGACTCCAATCTGCTTTAATGAATTTGATTTGTCAGTCCATACTGACCTCTGTGGAAGTAGATCACTTCCCAACTATCCTATCAGAATGTTCTCCTTCTGATTCTCCATCCTATACCAGATGGACTTTTCCAAGGCAGACTGATCTTTATTTCTAAACTAAGACCCGAATTGTTCAGTGATATTGTTGATCCTATTCGGGATTTTTCTGACGTTTTAAATGTAATAGCTGATGAGTGTATGCAACTCCAGATGTACGGAAACCATGGTTTAATACAGATTGTAGACAAGCCAGAAAAGCGAGGGAAAAGGCAGAGAATTATTTCCGCCATTACCCACCTGTCCACAACTTAAATAAATTTAAAATACTCAATGCGAAGGCACGTCGTACCTTCAAACAAAACAAAAACGGAACTATGTCTCCAAAATTAACTCACGCACGCCAATGTCCAAGGTATGGAACATGGTTCAAAGAATTAAAGGCAAAGGTTCAAAATCTGCTGTTCACCATCTTAAAGATGGTGGTAATTTAATTACTGACAAGTCTAAAATTGCAGATAATATTGGCGAAACTCTTGCCAAAAATTCATTATCGGCAAATTATGTCCCTGAGTTTCAGATATATCAGAAACAACAGGAAAAGACAAAAGTTAATGTTGAATCAAGTAATGGTGAAGACTATAATGAACTGTTTTCATTACATGAGCTATACACAGCTCTTGAGCAAGCTCATGCCACTGCAGCGGGTGATGACAATATTCATTATCAGCTACTGAAACACTTACCTGAACCATGTCTGGACACACTTTTAGATATATTTGACAAAATATTGACGTCCGGGAATTTTCGTTCCTCGTGGCGTAATGCCATTGTAGTCCCAATACCAAAACCTGGCAAGGATCATACAGATCCGTCGAATTACAGACCGATATCTCTAACTATCTGTGTCTGTAAAACCATGGAATGTATGGTGAATAATAGATAAACTTGGTATCTTGAAACCATTAAACTTATAACAAATATTCTATGTGGTTTCAGGAAAAATCGTAGTACCAGTGATCATTTGGTACGTTTAGAATCCTTTGTTAAAAATGCTATAGTAAATACACAACATGCAGCATCAATTTTCTTTGATCTTGAGAAAGCTTATGATACGACCTGGAAGCATGGCATTTTGAAGGATTTACATGATTTTGGTTTGAGAGGCCGTTTGCCTCTTTTTATATCCCAGTTTTTAAAAGACAGGCAATTTCAAGGCCGAATGGGTTCAACCCTGTCTGATCATTACAATTAGGATCAGGGTGTCCCTAAAGGCAGTATTTTGTCTGTTACTTTATTTAGTATTACGATCAACAGTTTATCCAAGGTTTTAAACGATTCAATCGATGGATCACTTTTTGTAGATGATTTTTTAATATTTCTTGTCGTGGTAAAATGTGCATACTATTGAACGGCAATTGCAGTTGTGTTGAAATAAAATAAATAAATGGTGTCTTGAAAACGGCTTTACATTTTCC